TTAAAAAAAATTAATATATATATATATATATATATAAATGTGTGTGCGTGCGTGCGTGCGTGCGTGTGTGTGTATTTTAGGTTTATTTTTGGGTCCATTTTGTTTTTTTATTTATTTCCAGTAAATTTTAGTGCTTCAGTCAAAACAAGTTAGTTGCCAAGGCAACGTTTCTAAATTTTAATTCTATTTTATTTTCATTTTTACAAGTTTTCTTTAAAAAGTTACTTTTTATGCTTATTTCTAGGTCAATTTTAGTTTTTATTTATTTCCAATTAATAATTTTAGTGCTTTAACCTAAACTTCTTTCAATCAGTTGCTAAGACAGTGTTTCAAAGTTTAAATATTTATTTTATTTTAATTTTTTTACTTTTTAGGTTTATTTTTAGGTCTATTTTAGTTTTCATTTATTTCCAATTAATAATTTTAGTGCTTTAACCTAAACTTATTTAATCTAGTTTCATGCAAAATTTCATTGTTTTTTATTTATTTATTTTTCATGTAATATTTATATTTTATTTCAGCTTTATTTCAGGTATCAAAATTTTTTAAAATATTTTTAGTTAATGATAATAACCCTGATGTATATCCATTGAATGAGAATTTGGAGGTTAAATGCACTTAATTGCAATGAAAATAACTTTACACCACAAAAACTCATACTGTCTTAATTTTTTCTTTGTATTTTGTATATAATACATATACAGTGGGTACGGAAAGTATTCAGACCCCCTTAAATTTTTCACTCTTTGTTATATTGCAGCCATTTGCTAAAATCATTTAAGTTAACTCTCTCTCTCTCTCTGCAAAACAAATACCAAACTTCACCTTTTACCTCCTGATATAGTCGTCCTCCCACTCCTGGCTGTCTGCTGATTCACTTCTGTGTTCTTTCAGGCACTTACAAACACGCTCCTCTGTGAGATTCCTCATGGCATCAGGCCAGCGCCAGACTTGGACACATTCCTGTCTTTCATTAGGAGTGTGTTACTCTCAGGGCAAATGCATGTCATCATCATTCGTACTTGACATGATCGCATCACTCTTAAAGGGATAGTTCACCCAAAAATGAAAATTTGATGTTTATCTGCTTACCCCCAGGGCATCCAAGATGTAGGTGACTTTGTTTCTTCAGTAGAACACAAACGAAGATTTTTAACTCAAACTGTTGCAGTCTGTCAGTCATATAATGGCAGTCAATGGGCTCCACGGCTTTGAGAGTAGCCCTATTCGACTGCTCCAGATATGTTGAGGCGTCCGCCATTTTGGAACGTATTGCAGCCCATAGAAACAGTCACTAATAAGGCATCTACTTATATATATCTATGTCTACTATGCCAGAGCACGTACACGCGTCACGCGCCGGATGTTGTGAACGCGCTCAGGACAGTTGGATATTGCGGTGGATCAGAGGTAAAAAAAACAATATAAATACTGTTCAGTTTCTTGCACAGACCGACCGTTTCGTGTCTTTACACATCAATGTATCGTCACGAGCCGCAGGGTTTAATTTGGTTTTGTCTGTGTATGTTTTTTTTACTCTCAAAGCCCAGCACAGCCAGCGAAGGATCGAACGCAACTGTTTTGAACGAGTGCACCTTTTTAACAACAAAAAAATGGCTGTTTCGTGGTCTGTTGAGGAAGTACAGACGTTCCTCTCGTTGATAGCAGAGGAGCGGATCCAGCGAGAGCTTGATGGGGCGACACGGAATGAAAAAGTTTTTCAGGAGTCGCGGCAGTAGAGGCGGTGCAACTATAACGACATGTGAATAATCCCGCCCACTCTAAAGCGATACTAAACTGCAGTGGAAACGCAAACCGAGCTGTGCTGTGCCGTACTGAGCCGTGCCGAGCCGAGTCGTACCACGCAGTGGAAAAGCGCCAAAAGTCACCTACATCTTGGATGCCCTGGGGGTAAGCAGATAAACATCAAATTTTCGTTTTTGGGTGAACTATCCCTTTAAGGCAACCTGGAGGCGCTTGCTGTTGAGGGGTGATGTGGTGTTCATCGTAATTGTTATGCACCTTTACCCACTTTTCTGGGGTTAATCAACACTCGTGACCTAATGTAACCCCTAAACTTTTCAAATCATCCCTTGGTGGAGACTGAAAGGCTGTAGGTTTGAATCCTGCATGGGTTGATCTGAGAGTAGATTGGATTCACATTGTCTATATTTATTTTTAGATTAAACAATGAAACGTTTAGCACAGCTGAAGAGTGCTACACATTTTAATTAACTTCTTTATTTTTAATTTTCTTCAAGAAAATGAAGCCTATTTTCTTTAGGACCGTCAGATTTTTAAAATCAAGCTTTATTTACAACAACCGTTCCAGTTCCCTGGAAATCTGCAGATCTTTCATAAGCTCGATCAAGATGCTCCACCTACCTTTGTTCCATGAGAATTGTCTAACCATCTGACTAGTTACTAGAAGCCAGATATCTTGAAATCGAGTGACAGGTCCACACAAACTTTGTGTTCACAGAAAGATCAGATTTTCACAGAATCGAAATGCCTGACATTCATAAAATTCTGCACATGCCCCAACAATACTATGTTTTTTGGATAAATGCATACCCAGGTCCGTTTAACACATTTTACCATGATTAAATGCATTCCTTATTGACCACAGATGAAATGTTGGTTTACAAAAGAAAAGATAAAAACACAAGATAAAAAAACAAACAAACTAATCTCTGGCCTCTTTTTTTATATAATCATTTATTTTATTTTATTTTGTTTTAATTAACAATTTTGTTTCCCAAGCAATTGTGTCTTGTTTTAAGGATGTTAAGATATTTATACAGGAAGATAAAACAAATTCTTCAAAACGTGTTTTTCTTTCCCACTGTGACCAAAGTTTTTTTATTTTATTTTATACAAATAATAACTTTTAAAAATGAGTATTTATATCTAGAATTGACTGACACTGATTACAATGGTAGTACATGATCACCGCAATCGTGGTACTTTAAAGGTACATTGTAATGCTATGGTAGCATGCCTAAAAAAATATAGCAATACCATGATACTATTGTGTAGTGGATCTTGGATGGAAAACCCTCTTTCTTCAGTTGCTTTCGTGACATTTAGACAGATTTCTCAATTCTCTTATGTAACTCCTGCTTTGGCTTGAAGCGCATGTTTGAGCTCAAAGTGAAGAATCCACTCATATTTTACTCCCCTTCATTCTGCAGATGTCTCATGTTCAGCGAATGGGAAAAAAACGACTGGAAGCAAAAAAGATGATGACGGATCATTTCCAGTGAAGATTCAGGGTGCAGGTGTCGAACCCTTTGAGCTGCAGGTGAGCTTCCATCATAAGAGCGCTAGTCTTGGCGTGGTGTAACCTCACATTTACTAGTCCGGTTTGTGCTGATCAGCAATGCAAATGTTTTCAAATATATCTGTCAACAGAACATCAAAAGATGCAAAGCACATGTCATCCTTTAATGTTAAGATTGGGTCGTCATCGCTGATAATGTTTTCTCTGCAGGTTCATGGATTCTGGCTGGTCCAGGATGCCATCATGACCGTTCTGGGCAGAGAGGAGGTGGCACCGCGCATGTCTATCGCTCTGGCCCTTTCAGGTGTGACCCTCGACCCCATGATGGAGCTCCAGGACGTCAAGGGCTTCAAAGCTGGAGTCACTCTCCGTCTAGTGGAAGGTAAACTGCAAGACCTTCCATTTGTGAATTTCTAAAAGACCATATTATATTCAACTTATATTATACATGGATATGAGGATGTTTGGTGGGAAATCCAGATAAAACTATATGTGTTTGGAACGTGGCTGTTGGTTTGTAGCTGGTTGTCCGTCCTGGCTGAGCTGGAAAACTATCATCGACAGTCTACCATGTTCCAGAATCCAGCTTGACCAATTTGAGCTGGTAAGAACAGCAAGTTTCAGGGTTTGGACAGCCACAGTAAAAACTGGAAACGGCAGGGAAATTGTGTTTTCTTCCCCTTTTTTTTCAGTCTGAAGAAGTCATTGAAATGAATAAAATTGTATGATTCATCAAAGTTTCTATAGTGATAGTGAATATATATTTTTATAATTCTAAAACAATTTATTGGCTAGATATTGCTCAGATTTACAGTGCAACTTGTTCACAAGTCATATATACTATAAAATGTCTGATTTGTGTGTGAATCTATTTGAGTTTGAATGAATCAATTGAACTCTGTTTTTTCCGGTTCATGACGGTTAGGGTATGTCGAAAAACTCCCATCTCATTTTCTCCTCCAACTTCAAAATCGCCCTACATCACTGTTTTACTGTTTTTTGTAAAGGGCATTTGATCTTTGCATGTTCACTTTGTAAACACTTGGTCGGTAATTCTGCAGCGTTGTAGGACGATTTTGAAGTTGGAGGAGAAAATGAGATGGGAGTTTTTAGACCTACCCTAACTGTCATGAACCGGAAAAAACAGCGTTCACGCAGAGCTAGACAAGAAGAGCTTTTGAGGTTAAAAAGTATATAAATTAAAAAATTTGTAGAAAATGACCGATCGTTTCGCTAGATAAGACCCCTCTTCCTCGGCTGGGATCATTTAGAGCCCTTTGAAGCTGCATTTAAACTGCATTTTGGAAGTTCAAACTCGGGGGCACCATAGAAGTCCATTATATGGAGAGAAATCCTGAAATGTTTTCCTCAAAAAACATAATTTCTTTACGACTGAAGAAAGAAAGACATGAACATCTTGGATGACAAGGGGGTGAGTACATTATCTGTACATTTTTGTTCTGGAAGGGAACTACTCCTTTAAGCGAGAATGACCAGCTGGTAACTGGTTTGTTGTGAGTCAGGTTGGGTTGGTCAACCAACTTGGATCAGCTAGAAACCAACCACCATGTTCCAAAATGCAGCAACATTAGTGATAATTTCCACAGGGATCAGTAGTGTGTGTGGGGGGGGGGGGGTTTGCT